AAGGAAGAGAGACAGAGTAGAGAGTAGAGAGTAGAGTGACACAAAGTTCAAGACGTTGGCAGGTGTGGTGACTTTCAAGGCGACTCAATAGTCAGAAGAATACCAAGAGCAGCATTAGGACCCTCAAAAGTCGACTCAACAGTCAGAGAAATGCCTGGAGCAGCATCAGGTCAAACGACAGGTGACTTCTGAGTCAACTTGAAAGCCAAGGGTGCGAGATAGACATGATCCCAAAACCGGACCTTGTTAGGCTGGTGACAACTCAAAACAGCTTGCCACGGCCCAAGGCCCCAAGCCGGCCGGGACTTTTTCTTGCCCCTGCCGGTCGGGCCATTTTGAAACATAAGTTTTTCCTTACATTCTGGGAAAAAAGCCTGGTCGGTCCTGTTCGTTTCAAGTTACTTTCTTAAGACTTGCAATGACATGCTTCTGTTTCGTAGTAAAGAGTGGGTGCCACAATTTTGTAGGCACTTTCAAACTGAGTAATAATCAGATACTTCATCAAGTGAATATGGCCCGGCCCGGAGCAAAGGAGTCGTGTTTCGAGTCGACTAAAAAAACTGAGTAAGAATCATATACTTCATCAAGTGAATATGGGCCAGAGCAATGGAGCGCTATGTCCACTTTTGTTACCTGTTGCAACGGCAATTCTTACCAACGGAATTGAGCTGTTTTGTTCTTCATGACAAGGTTCGAGGCGCCTCAAACCGGGTGTGAGTTGAGAAGTGGATGTGGGTGTATGTGGGTGCCCCGGTGTTTTTTTGGTGACTCGAAATCGAGGCCGCTTTTTAGGAACCTCAAAAAGGGGATGTAGGTCAAAGGAAAGCAACGGCATACGTTTGTCTCTTGGTGATCAGAGGATGCCACGTGTCCCACACTTCTGCTGTCAGTGCTGGCTGAATGTCCACTCTGAAAGAGAATCAGCCGAGAGTGGAAGGAAGGGAATATAAGGGGGGCACAGGAAGGGATTTATGGGGAGCAAGGTTTGTGCTTTTTAAAGGGGCACTGCAGCACCTCCGCGCCAAAGTCTTGTGCTGTCAGTGCTGGCTGGATGTCCACTCTGAAAGAGGATGAGCAGAGAGTGGAAGGAAGGGAGTAAAAGGGGGGCACAGGAAGGGATTAAAGGGGAGCAGTGTCGCAAAGTCTTTTACTGTCAACGCAGGGTTTAAGGTGTAGGATTTAGGGTTTCGGGTTCAGGTTGTGTCAACTCAAGACCCGTTTGACCCATATCATCTCAAGTTGTGTCAACCCGTCTGGTCAGGTCGACCCGACCCGTTTTCAGGTCTGATTGGTTAGAGGCAGGTCGGGCCAACTCGATATGCCCTCCTCGGGTCACAGCCCGACCCAACCCTTATAAGCATGGGTCCGGACCGACCCAACCCTTATAAGCCTGGGTCCGGACCGACCCAACCCCACCCCACCCCACTCGGCGGGCCCTCGGGTCACAGCCAACCAGAACCTTATAAGCCCGGGTCAGTTTGGCAGGCCTGGGGTCCCGACCTCGACCCGACCTGATCCGACCCGACCCGACCCGACCCGACCCGACCCGACCCGACCCGACCCGACCCGACCCGACCCGACCCGACCCGACCCGACCCGACCCGACCCGACCCGACCCGACCCGACCCAACCCGACCCGACCCGACCCGACCCGTACCTGGCTTGAGTCGATATGCAGAAATGAGTCTGACCTGTTGCTCATGTCCACATAGGAACAACAACAAGACCAGACTAGGGGTCGACCTGACCCGACCCACCCCCCCCCTCGAGTCGATATGCAGAGAGGAGGATGTCCTGACCTATTGCTCATGTCTACATAGGAACACCAACAAGACCAGACTATGGGCCGAACTGACCCGGTTCAGTTTGGTTCGGTTCGGTTTGGGTTGGTATGTAGATATGAGCCTGATCTAACCCATAGCTCATGTATACATATGAACACCGACCGGCGCCCAACCAATTAGAGCAGGCAAGGGGGGACGTACGAGCAGTGGCTGGTCAATTCTTCCCACCTATACATGGCATTCCAAAGGACTGACTTGGGCAGGGCAGGGGGGACGTACGAGCAGTGGCCGATCAGGGCGTCCTTTAGCTTGTTCTTGTCCCACACGTGGCATTCCAAAGGGCTGACTTGACCCTTTAACTGCAGCTGAAACGTCTCGTTCCACACAGGGGTGATGTGGCCGTCTGTAGGACCGAGGGAGGACAGAGACGATTGAGAAAGAGGAGAGGAACTGCAGTAGCTGATTTGAGGCGCCTCAAAAGGCTGTCCGCTTGCTCCTCTTCCCTCATGTGCAGCTCACACCCTCGTGCCACACGGTGGTGGTGTGGCCACCTGTAGGAGCGAGGGAAGGGGAGACGGGAGAACAAGAAGAGAGGATTTTTAAGAGATATAGTGACTGCTTGCTCCTCTGCCGTCATGTGCAGCTCACACTCCTCGAGCCACACGGTGGTGGTGTGGCCGGGTTTGCGGGTGAGTGCAGGGGAAGCGGAGAAAGAGGAGAGGAACTGCAGCAAACTTAGCAGCAGAGTCAGCAGCAGAGTCAGAGGCAGAGTCAGAAGCAGAGTCAGCAGCAGAGTCAGCAGCTGAGTCAGCAGCAGAGTCAGCAGCTGAGTCAGCAGCAGAGTCAGCAGCTGAGTCAGAGGCAGAGTCAGCAGATTTGATGCTTATACCATTACATGCATCCACCACGTACAGATCGAATTGAATTGATGACACCTCACATATCTAAAAGCTGACTCAGCACACGTCCATGTGCTGACTCAGCGTATGGAGTGAAGAGTTGAATACCGTGGTGGACCTTGGTGCGATGCTCCTGGTTACCATACTGTAACACCACGTAAGGGTCCTGCTTGCCGTACAGCTCCACGTCATATAGATCCTTGCAGCCCACCACTGGTGTGGTGCCACGTGGCAAATTGGGGGTCAAGGGAGGAGGGAGGAGTAAAAAAACAAACAAACAAAGGTTAGCAGGCAAGTGCAATGCAAGAATAACGAGACAGCTAGTAACGGATATCGAGCAACGACTAACAGGTAACGAGCAGCAACTAACAGACAACGGATAGGGGTCAATAACTAACGAGCAACGAGTAATGGCCAACGAGCAGAGAGTCTGTGATTCTTATTCATCCATGGCGTATGACATCAAACGTCACTCACAACTTCTTAAATGTACCACGTGACGTGCGTCACTAGGACATTCCATCGCGTCTTGGTTTTGTCTTACCTACGCCGACGAATTCGAGACAGCAATTCCTTTTCCTTATGTTTGCAACATGATGTTTCTTTTCACCATGCTTCACTTTCCTGGTCCCTACATGTGAGACGGCATAAGAAACTACCGCTGTCTTTCACTACCTTCTCTGTTGTCTGAGACATAAAGCAATCAGATCCAGCTAGCCACACGCATCATGGCAACTTTCACTTCTGGTCCTTACATGAGGTTCAAAGCTAACAAAGTGATGTTTAACTAGCCAGACCCCGCCGAAAACCTTTCAACCACACATTTATCTGTTTTTGTTCAAGATCTTCCAGCCACACTTACCATTCACGTCTTATCAGCCAGACATCATGGCATTTCCATCGCCTCTAGCTTCTTACCCGTCACGTCTAACCAGCCAGACGCCATGACTGACAGAAGCGTCGCGGCGGCAAGCGTCGCCGCTCCTCCTTTTTTTTGCCTGATTCAGGGTGCTACCGTCTTCGACAGAACGTCGTCACAATAGCTACTACCACGGACCTACGGGCGAGGTCAGGTCGTACGTCTCCTGTGCGTTCTCTGCGGTCTACTTCGTTGCGCCACGGAGCAAAACGGTACACCTCGAATTCCACTTTCCACCGTGTGGAACCGTTCTGAAACACGAGCTTAAACTGAAAATGCACGACCTGACCACGCCCTAAGCCGTCCAGTCAGACCACCCTAAATGGGGTTAGAGCCAAACGAATGCGACACGAGTGAGACTCAAGGGCTTGAAGGAATCGTTAAAGTCAGGGAAGAGGTAACTTGGAAGCTGCGCAATGGACGGCTACAATCATAAAATTACCACATCGCGTCGACTCTACATTCTCTTGAAACTGGTCCCACGCGGGATAATTGGCCCGCAACAACACCTGACAACATAGCGCGCTGATACCAACGCGGCACGATCTGGCTACACCTAAAGCGACGGGCAACTTTTGGCAGTGTTGGGTTCAGAAGTTTTTTTTTTGAACCAGGCTTGCCAGCGCGAAAGTGCTGGCTGGCGAAAACCAGGATTTCGTGCGGACACTTTCCATCCGCAGTAACAGTTCGCCAGGGTTCTGGGTTTTGGGTGGCAAATGTGCACCGTCGCTCTAATAGCATCATGCTTGTTTTGCGGAATGTTGCTACCTGATATACTGGGTTCGATTGAATCTATGTGCCCCCATTATCGGCACCCTTTTCCCAACTACAGTGTGTTGCCGTAAACCAATCAGGTTCTGATAGTGAAGCTCCTGCTGGCACATTCGGACCAATCAGGTTGCAGAAGTCGACCGCAAATACGCGTTATCAACGAGAACCGAGTTAGAAGGGCTAGAAAGCACATTGTTTCTTGGAGAGCAAGCACTTACAATGCAGTCTTATCTGTACCTGCCTGAAGCTAACCTACTTCCACTTATTATCATAGTGGTCTTTGCCTTTCTTTTTGTGATCTTTGTGGTAGCACTTTTTACAGTGCTTGCAATCACAAAAATCCTTCTTGTTTCGATCTTCTTTATTTCTGTGAGACCTGTCCTTGTATCTGTGCTCTTCCTTACCGTGAGAGCCGCTGCTTCCACCTGCAACATCATCACCGCAACAGAGTGAAGGGAAGAAAGAAAGAAATAAAGAAAAAAAAACCAAGTTGACATTACCGCAAGTGAAATCGTTGCAATTGAGAAGGGGGCATTGATAGGGAGAGAAAACCAGTGCGACTTGATAATATGTTCTTACCGCTCCTGTGTCGCTCAAACGAAACAGGTGACGTCGAGCGGTTACCACCACGTTCACGATCACCACTGGCAGAACCATAACCACCACTGCGGTCATTATAAGGGGCAGGCGGGGCCGGAGGATAACCCCAGGGCGTGGGGTATTGTGCCCCACCCTGCTGATAAGGAGGATGGGGTGTAGGACCTTGAGGTGCAGCATAGGGGTAATAGGGAGCGTTAGGAGGAGGGGGGTAGCTAGGATATGAACCAGGGGGTGCTTGGGAGGGGTAGTTGTATTGAGAGGGACTGTATTGAGAGGGATTATATTGAGTGGGAGGGTAAGGATAGGGATACGGATTTGAGGCAGGAGGGTTGGGATAAGGGTTGGCTGTTGCAGGGTTGGCAGGATATGGGTGGGATGTGGAAGCTTTAGGGGCGGAGTGGGTGGGTGGAGGGGGGTATGTGACGGGAGGGGTGTGAGGGTAGGAGTGTTTAGGAGGGTGTGTGGTGGAAGGGTAGTTCGAAGAGTGCTCTGAAATGTCTGAAACGACTGATTGGGATGATTCAGAAGGGGGGTAGCTTGAGGAGAAAGACGAATGGTTTGAGTGGTGAGAACCCATTTTGTCCTTATTTGAGTGTGTGGATTCAAAAGACCGATGCCCTTTTTCTGAGTGTCCAGATTCGGTAGAAAGAGAGGAGGGGACGGTGGCAGAGGAGGGAGAAGGGTATGAGACAGAGGGGTGAGCGTAAGAAGGGGACGGATGGTGGGACGGCCAGGAGGGAGAAGGGTATGAGACCGTGGAGGAGGAGGAGGAGGCGGAGGAGGAGGAAGAGGAGTGGGAAGAGTAATGGGACGAACGGGTAGGGCCCTTGGAACAGGATTGGCTGGTTGCTGCATGAATAGGCTCATGTGGGGATGACTGGTGGGCCTGATAAGCCGAGTGAGGAGCGTGAGGATGAGGAGGAGGCGAAAGAACAGCAGCAGGAGGAGCAGCAGGATACGGAGCATGAGCATACATAGGCAAGCCCTGCAGTTGCGGATTGGGTAACACTGTTACATGTGCGGTGTTACCCTTTCCTGCTTCACCCAACGCCCCCATCAATCCCTTGCCTCCTTTCACCAAGGGAGCTTTGGCCGCTTCTATCGCATACCGAACCAGGTATTCAGCCTCGTCTGACCGAACCTTGTCCGCAGCTCCGGAAACTGTGTCTGTAACCATGCCCACCATCCCAGTCAGCACAGAGCCCCCACCTGAAAACCCACCTGACATGACACCTGCCATTGCCCCTGCTACTGCCCCCTGCATGTTTGACATCGCCCCTGCCAGCCCCCCTGAATGTCCACCTGAAGCCAACCCGGACGTGCTTACCAAACCTACTCCCGTACCTCCTCTCGAACCTCCAACCATACCTCCGACCACACCTCCGACCGGACCTCCGACCGGACCTCCTCCCGAACCTCCCGAACCCCTTGCAACAGTTCCACTCCCTTCTGCCCTACCCGATCCTTCCTCCTCCCCTTCCTCCCCTTCCACAATGGTATCGGCCCAGCCCTGCTCCTGCCCTCCCCCCTGCCGCCTGGTCACACCACCAGCGCCGCCCCCTCCCTTGTTATCAAACACAGCCGCCGCTGCGGTATTTTGTCCTTTAGCTGCCTCTGCCGCCCGGCTGTGAATGCTGTGACTGGGCGGCAATCTCCCGGCTTCTGCCAGGATCTGGTGAATGGTAACCAGCTGCTTTTGCGATACGGTGGTGCGCAATCTGGACCGTCCGATCGCCTTGCTGCTGCTGCTGCTGGCGCTGCTGCTGGTGCTCGTCGTGCCGCTAGTGATAGCCTTGGTGGTGGTGCTGGCGGTGGTGGCGGTAGTGGTGGTGGCAGGAGTAGTGCTGGTGGTGGTGTTTTGAGCCATGGATTTTGAGGAAGAATGAAGAGCCTTCGCAGCAGCAGCGGCAGCAGCAGCATCAGCCCCACTTGGGCCGGCACCCTCAGGTTCGGCTCTGTTGCCAACAGGTGCTTTTCTGTTGCCACCAGGAGTTTCACCAGATGCATCACCTATATCACCAGTCGTCATTCCGTTGCCCTCAGCAGCTGCTTTCTCAGATTCGCTTGAACCAGGTGCTTCTCTGCTTCTGCCTCCAGGTGCTCCACTGGTGTTCTCAGGTGATTTTTCAAATTCACCTGGACTGACCACACCTGAATCCCCACCCTCGCAATTCTCAGCAAGCATGCGATAAATCGCGTCAATCCGCTGAGACAGCCTGGCAGCAGCTAAGGCCTCTTCATCCATGGTGTTAAGAGGGGCACCCACAGCACCCCCTATGGCCACCGGCAAAACACTCTCATCCTCTCCCGATTCTTGCTCCCAAGTCGCCCGCCCAATCTGCCAGCCAGGTACCTCCTCTTTAGCTTTCCCTCCTCCTGCTACTTCTATTCCCAGTCCTCTCAGTGAACCACCAGCACCAGCACCAGCACCAGAATCAGCACCAGCACCAGCAACAGCAGGACCTGAACCATCTGTGGGAGATCCATCTGTGGCGGGGTCTGGTTCGATCTGTGCTACAGCCAGCATGCGTTCAATTGCATCAAGCTGCATGGAGAGATTAGAGCGGGGTAGGGATGTGGGCCGGCCAGAGGAGGAAGAAGAGGAGGACTCGTGCTCATTGCTCTGTTCTGTGTCTCTCTCACGACCACTGCCTTTGTGGTCGCTACTAGAAACATCTGCTGCAGCGTTGCCATGTGTAGCGTTGATGCTGTGAAGAGCAACGGAGAGAGCAGAGCGAGGGAGGGACCCTGAAGCTGCGTTGCTGCTGTGACTGCTTGTGACTGCTGCGTTAGAATCTACTGCTACTGATGCTGCTGCTGCTGCTGCTGGTGTCGGTGCAGCAACTAGGTCAGGCAGAGGAGTGGTCCCCAGCTGCTTGTACTGAGGGTTCTGGTGAGAAAGAATAAGAAAGGGGCGGAGGAGAAACAGAGAGGGTGGGGGGAGAGAAACAGGAGGAGGTAGGGGAGAAACGGGTAAATGGCATTAGCCGCATCCTCATCCATACAACTGCCTGAATGCCTGAATGAACTGCCTGAATTCCTGAATGCCTGAATGCCTGAATGCCTGAATGCCTGAATGCCTGAATGCACTGCCTGAATGCCTGAATGCAATGCCTGAATGCCTGAATGCAATGCCTGAATGCCTGAATGCAATGCCTAAATGCCTGAATGCAATGCCTGAATGCCTGAATGCACTGCCTGAATGCCTGAATGCCTGAATTCAATACCTACATGCCTGAATGCAATGCCTGAATGCCTGAATGCAATGCCTGAATGCCTGAATGCAATGCTTCAATGCTTGAATGCAATGCCTAAATGCCTGAATGCAATGCCTGAATGCCTGAATGCACTGCCTGAATGCCTGAATGCAATGCCTGAATGCCTGAATGCCTGAATGCACTGCCTGAATGCCTGAATGCCTGAATGCAATGCCTGAATGCCTGAATGCAATGCCTGAATGCCTGAATGCCTGAATGCCTGAATGCACTGCCTGAATGCCTGAATGCACTGCCTGAATGCCTGAATGCAATGCCTGACTGAATGCAATGCCTGAATGCCTGAATGCAATGCCTGAATGCCTGAATGCAATGCCTGAATGCTGCAATGCCTGAATGCAATGCCTGAATGCAATGCCTGAATGCCTGAATGCAATGCTTCAATGCCTGAATGCAATGCCTAAATGCCTGAATGCAATGCCTGAATGCCTGAATGCACTGCCTGAATGCAATGCCTGAATGCCTGAATGCCTGAATGCAATGCCTGAATGCCTGAATGCCTGAATGCAATGCCTGAATGCCTGAATGCAATGCCTGAATGCACTGCCTGAATGCCTGAATGCAATGCTTGAATGCCTGAATGCAATGCCTGAATGCAATGCCTGAATGCAATGCCTAAATGCCTGAATGCAATGCCTAAATGCCTGAATGCACTGAATGCAATGCCTGAATGCCTGAATGCACTGCCTGAATGCCTGAATGCACTGGCTGAATGCCTGAATGTACTGCCTGATTGCCTGAATGCAATGCCTGAATGCCTGAATGCCTGAATGAACTGAATGCAATGCCTGAATGCCTGAAAGCAATGCCTGAATGCCTGAATGCAATGCCTGAATGCCTGAATGCAATGCCTGAATGCCTGAATGCAATGCCTAAATGCAATGCCTGAATGCCTGAATGCAATGCCTGAATGCACTGAATGCAATGCCTGAATGCAATGCCTGAATGCCTGAATGCAATGCTTCAATGCCTGAATGCAATGCCTAAATGCCTGAATGCAATGCCTGAATGCCTGAATGCACTGCCTGAATGCCTGAATGCAATGCCTGAATGCCTGAATGCAATGCCTGAATGCCTGAATGCCTGAATGCACTGCCTGAATGCCTGAATGCCTGAATGCAATGCCTGAATGCCTGAATGCAATGCCTGAATGCCTGAATGCCTGAATGCCTGAATGCACTGCCTGAATGCCTGAATGCACTGCCTGAATGCCTGAATGCAATGCCTGACTGAATGCAATGCCTGAATGCCTGAATGCAATGCCTGAATGCCTGAATGCAATGCCTGAATGCTGCAATGCCTGAATGCAATGCCTGAATGCCTGAATGCAATGCTTCAATGCCTGAATGCAATGCCTAAATGCCTGAATGCAATGCCTGAATGCCTGAATGCACTGCCTGAATGCAATGCCTGAATGCCTGAATGCCTGAATGCAATGCCTGAATGCCTGAATGCCTGAATGCAATGCCTGAATGCCTGAATGCAATGCCTGAATGCACTGCCTGAATGCCTGAATGCAATGCTTGAATGCCTGAATGCAATGCCTGAATGCAATGCCTGAATGCAATGCCTAAATGCCTGAATGCACTGAATGCAATGCCTGAATGCCTGAATGCCTGAATGCACTGCCTGAATGCCTGAATGCACTGGCTGAATGCCTGAATGTACTGCCTGATTGCCTGAATGCAATGCCTGAATGCCTGAATGCCTGAATGAACTGAATGCAATGCCTGAATGCCTGAAAGCAATGCCTGAATGCCTGAATGCCTGAATGCAATGCCTGAATGCCTGAATGCAATGCCTGAATGCCTGAATGCAATGCCTAAATGCAATGCCTGAATGCCTGAATGCAATGCCTGAATGCACTGAATGCAATGCCTGAATGCAATGCCTGAATGCCTGAATGCAATGCCTAAATGCCTGAATGCAATGCCTGAATGCCTGAATGCACTGCCTGAATGCCTGAATGCAATGCCTGAATGCCTGAATGCAATGCCTGAATGCCTGAATGCAATGCCTGAATGCACTGCCTGAATGCCTGAATGCAATGCTTGAATGCCTGAATGCAATGCCTAAATGCCTGAATGCAATGCCTAAATGCCTGAATGCACTGAATGCAATGCCTGAATGCCTGAATGCACTGCCTGAATGCCTGAATGCAATGCCTGAATGCCTGAATGCAATGCCTGAATGCCTGAATGCACTGCCTGAATGCAATCCCTGAATGCCTGAATGCAATGCTTGAATGCCTGAATGCAATGCCTAAATGCCTGAATGCAATGCCTAAATGCCTGAATGCACTGAATGCAATGCCTGAATGCACTGCCTGAATGCCTGAATGCACTGGCTGAATGCCTGAATGTACTGCCTGAATGAACTGAATGCAATGCCTGAATGCCTGAAAGCAATGCCTGAATGCCTGAATGCAATGCCTGAATGCCTGAATGCAATGCCTGAATGCCTGAATGCAATGCCTGAATGCCTGAATGCCTGAATGCCTGAATGCACTGCCTGAATGCCTTAATGCACTGCCTGAATGCCTGAATGCAATGCCTGACTGAATGCAATGCCTGAATGCCTGAATGCAATGCCTGAATGCCTGAATGCAATGCCTGAATGCTGCAATGCCTGAATGCAATGCCTGAATGCCTGAATGCAATGCTTCAATGCCTGAATGCAATGCCTAAATGCCTGAATGCAATGCCTGAATGCCTGAATGCACTGCCTGAATGCAATGCCTGAATGCCTGAATGCCTGAATGCAATGCCTGAATGCCTGAATGCCTGAATGCAATGCCTGAATGCCTGAATGCAATGCCTGAATGCACTGCCTGAATGCCTGAATGCAATGCTTGAATGCCTGAATGCAATGCCTGAATGCAATGCCTGAATGCAATGCCTGAATGCAATGCCTAAATGCCTGAATGCACTGAATGCAATGCCTGAATGCCTGAATGCACTGCCTGAATGCCTGAATGCACTGGCTGAATGCCTGAATGTACTGCCTGATTGCCTGAATGCAATGCCTGAATGCCTGAATGCCTGAATGAACTGAATGCAATGCCTGAATGCCTGAAAGCGATGCCTGAATGCCTGAATGCAATGCCTGAATGCCTGAATGCAATGCCTGAATGCCTGAATGCAATGCCTAAATGCAATGCCTGAATGCCTGAATGCAATGCCTGAATGCACTGAATGCAATGCCTGAATGCAATGCCTGAATGCCTGAATGCAATGCTTCAATGCCTGAATGCAATGCCTAAATGCCTGAATGCAATGCCTGAATGCCTGAATGCACTGCCTGAATGCCTGAATGCAATGCCTGAATGCCTGAATGCAATGCCTGAATGCCTGAATGCAATGCCTGAATGCACTGCCTGAATGCCTGAATGCAATGCTTGAATGCCTGAATGCAATGCCTAAATGCCTGAATGCAATGCCTAAATGCCTGAATGCACTGAATGCAATGCCTGAATGCCTGAATGCACTGCCTGAATGCCTGAATGCAATGCCTGAATGCCTGAATGCACTGCCTGAATGCCTGAATGCAATGCCTGAATGCCTGAATGCACTGCCTGAATGCAATCCCTGAATGCCTGAATGCAATGCTTGAATGCCTGAATGCAATGCCTAAATGCCTGAATGCAATGCCTAAATGCCTGAATGCACTGCCTGAATGCCTGAATGCACTGGCTGAATGCCTGAATGTACTGCCTGAATGAACTGAATGCAATGCCTGAATGCCTGAAAGCAATGCCTGAATGCCTGAATGCAATGCCTGAATGCCTGAATGCAATGCCTGAATGCCTGAATGCAATGCCTGAATGCCTGAATGCAATGCCTGAATGCGTGAATGCACTGCCTGAATGCCTGAATGCAATGCCTGAATGCCTGAATTCAATGCCTACATGCCTGAATGCAATGCCTGAATGCCTGAATTCAATGCCTACATGCCTGAATGCAATGCCTGAATGCCTGAATGCAATGCCTAAATGCCTGAATGCACTGAATGCCTGTATGCCTGAATGCACTGCCTGAATGCCTGAATGCCTGAATGCAATGCCTGAATGCCTGAATGCAATGCCTGAATGCCTGAATGCCTGAAAGCAATGCCTGAATGCACTGAAGTTTTTGTTTTGAACCAGCCTTGCCAGCGCGAAAGTGTTGGCTGGCGAAAACCTGGATTTCGTGCGGACACTTTTCCTCCGCAGTAACAGTTCGCCAGGGTTTAGGGTTTCGGGTGGCAAATGTGC